AAAAATAGCAAGCAAGTAATCTTGGTTGACGTACAGTTAGTTCCAACATTAAGCAGTTATTCCCTTTCTTCTTGGTTTCTTTAAAAAAAAATGTTATTATAACTGAAACACTTTCACTTGCCTTTATAGGTAAAGAGGTGAAATTCAAATGCCAAAGGTCAGAGGTCAGAAGTAGTCACATTTTTCTTGCTGTCAAAGATTGACTTTTGGAGGTAGGGCACAGGGGAGAAGTAAATCACATTTTAAAAGTCTATACTCAAACTATAGCATATTATGTCTTGCTATATTGGCCTACACAGTTACAACACAATATGGTCAGCTATAATCCAAACACACCATTGAGTATCACAGTACAAACAGACTGCTGACAAGAGGCATTTACTCTGGATTCTCAGTACACTGAGTAACTATTCTGTCTACTAGATGTTTTGATAAGCAAAACCATGATTTCAAATTAGACCCAAAAATTTTAGTGTGTGAACTAATCTGTCAGTGATTTCTGGGGGGCATGATTTGTGGAAGCAAATCACTTAAGATCCCCATAAAACAGGATAAATCTATGATACAATGAATTGGGAGTCCATATGTAAATGTTTTGTGAAAATGAAAATATAACCTATATAGTCAACATGCTGATAATTAGCAACTGTACTGTCACTATGGCCTTAGTGAGAAACCTCCTCTAAGGCAACTTTTAAGTATGGAGGTCTGCATAGGTTTAGGAGTGGAGATTTAAAGGGGTTGGGGTAAATTTTAGATGACCTAATGAAATATGGTAAGCTTCAATGATTTTGAATGGAATCTAAATGTATGTGGCCCTACCAGTCACAGATGCCTAAAAACGGCTTCCGCATTAAGTAGAAGGTAAAGCAAGACATTCAAGAAGTCATTCCAAGTTGACAGATTTTATGGTCTGGAGTGTATATGGACTGCATTTTATCAATTCTAGAATGCATATTTTTTCACGTTTTCACAAACCTAAAAGCATCTGAAAATTGCTATCTGCCAGGCGGCAGTCCTGCTGCTGTTGTCATAGCTTGCACAGAAGCATCAAAATTTGCAGAACTGATGTCAGCAGCTTGGAAAAATTCCAGGAACAAGAGTGGAGTAATCTTTTAAGGAATGTTGTGTCACCGAGGTTGTGACGGCATAGAATATGATATTGTGTGTAAAAACAAAGACATTAAACCCTGAGTCCAAAAGCGATCCAGAACAATTAAACTCAATGTAGGCTGGTTTGAAGAATACCTTAGCCCTGGGTTTCTCACTATTGGTACAACTGACATTTTGAGCCAAATACCTTAGCCCTGGGTTTCTCACTATTGGTACAACTGACATTTTGAGCCAAACAATTCTTTTTTGGTGGGGAGAGAATGAATGGGGGGGGCGGGCAGGGGCAAGAGGTAAGGACTGTCATGTGCATTACAGAACGTTAAACAGCATCCCTGGCCTCCATCCACTAGATGCCAATAACACTTGACAAGTTGTAACAACCAAAAATGTCTCCAAACATGGTAAAATGCCGCCTGGGGACCAAATGCTCTCCCAGCTGAGAACCACTGCCTTAATCAATTTATTTTGCTTGCTTTTTCCTTCTTATGAATATACATATGTTGGCCAGGCGCGGTGGCTCAAGCCTGTAATCCCAGCACTTTGGGAGGCCGAGGCGGGTGGATCACAAGGTCAGGAGATCGAGACCATCCTCACTAACACGGTGAAACCCTGTCTCTACTAAAAATACAAAAAATTAGCCGGGCGTGGTGGCGGGCATCTGTAGTCCCAGCTACTCGGGAGGCTGAGGCAGGAGAATGGCATGAACCCGGGAGGCGGAGCTTGCAGTGAGCCAAGATCGCGCCCCTGCACTCCAGCCTGGACAACAGAGCAAGACTCCATCTCAAAAAAAAATATATATATATATATACACACACACACACACACACACACACACATATGTTTTCAAAAATTCAAAATTAGTGTTAATGAACTGTTTCAATAAGAAAATCCTAAGAGATAAAGTACTGTGTTAAAACTTGCAGCAGTATTTTTCATAGGGTACATCAAATACACTAAAATCTTAAAATCAGTGGCATGCAAAGAAATTCAGCCACTCAACATTGTTTCCCCTCCTTATGGGATGCTCGTCATGATTTTCTGGTGGGGAACTATTTCCTCACCACACACAGTTTTAGAAATATCTACTCTTCCCCTTGCTAACAGTTCTCTAAGTCTTCCATTTGTTTCTTTTGAGCTATATATCCTTTACACTCCTAAAAATTTCCTTGCTTTCTAAGCTAATCAGAGTTAAGTTTCAGTCTTCCAACTAAATAAATCTAACTGAAACAAAGTGCTTATTTCAACTATGCTGATAGAAGACATTTTGGAATATTTCCCTGCTATAAAATTCACAGGCCTGTTTAAAATTGTATTACTTTTCCTCACCACTCATCACATGTGTAGAGCGACTAGAGGGTACATGAAACAAGAATTGTTAAAACTGTGTCATGGGGTATGGAGATTGACTATACTCCATTTTTCATGGAACTTTAAAATTTCCATTTAAAAAGGGTTACAACGATAATAGCTATTCTATAAAGAAAAATATCACAATCGAAATTAATTCCAAAGTCCTTGTCGAACAAGTTTCTTCAAAACATACATAGACGCCTATGTCCAGATATTAAGTGCTTGAGAACTGGTCAACAGGTTTGTGTGCATTTGGAGGGAAAAAAGAGAAAACCTGGCACACAGGACACATACCGTATGAGTAACAGTACAAAGGCAAGAGGAGCCATTTTCTAAAACTGCCTACAAATCTCGATTCAATTCAGGTAACACATACAATAACATATACATGCTCTGTGACTCCAAAAAGTTGCTGCTAAAAGACTGCACACAAAACCTTCTTAATGCTGTTTCTGAAGTTTCTTCTCTGGTAGAAAAAAAGAAAGAAAAAAATAGCTATTGATTCTTCCAAGAACTATCATATAGATGAACACACATTTTTTGCCAAGATTTGACAGCTGGAAGTTTTCATGAAGGAGGCTTCAAACTAAACATTGTTTAAAAAGAAAAAATAATATAAAGGCCACACCATCCTCTGCTCTCCTTAAGGGTGACAGAAAATAAATTCTTTATCAATAGTCATTTGTCCAGGTTACAGCTAGGCTGCCAACCCCCCTCCACCTGAGATATGAAATTGGCTTTCACTGGCGCCTTTTACTCATCTCATCTGCCCTTTCCCTTTCATGAGCCAAGGCAGAGCAAATGGAAGCTGAATAATGAAGAAGAAGAAGAAGAAGAAGAAGAAGAAAAAAACACAGTGAGAGTTATTTTAACAAAAAGCCTGCACCATATGGAGAGAAGGGAAGACCAAAAAAAAAAAAAAAACCTATGTGAAATATAATAAGCAAAGTAAATGAGAATCTAACCAAAAAATCCCTATTAAAATAAAACAATTAAAAACAACAAAATTTCAAAGACAAGAAATTCTACCATAACATACTGATTCTCTTTGCTTCTTAATGAAAGTAATCTGAATTTTTTTTGAATATTTAAACATCACTATCTAATTATATAGTCTATCAACCTAACCCAATTAAATAATTATAAAGCACTGCATGGGAAACTGTGGAAATATACGCAGACCTTTCTGGCAGTACTAATTACGTCTTGATTTTTTAAATCGTAAGTCATAAGCCTTCTCTATTTCCTGAGAAAATGGCAGTCTTAATCTAAAATTCACATTCTGTTCTGTATATTTTGTGCAAATTGGGAGTTAGCTTAGCAGTTTGTCAAAAGAAATATTAAAGAATAATTTTTCACAACCCTCATTTTAAAGATGAAATACTTAAGGCTCAAAGAGGTTAAATTATACGGTGAAGGTCCTACGGCCAGTGAGGACTACAATCCAATTCAAAGATTCCTTACCTCCAGATCTCTCAAGCAAAATAGTTGGGCAGTTCAAAACAAAACAAATACAAACTAAGCATCTGCTCGGTGGCAAGCATGTGTTTGGTGCTCACAGTAAAAAGACATTCACATGATCATGTAATCATAATTCTCTAAGCTATATGCAAACTCCAGAAATAGTACAGATGGGAAGCACTTTATCTTAGATTAAAATGTTTTCCCATCTTTTTATGAATAAGTACATACTCTAAAACTTCAAAAAGTAGTATTTTTAAAAAATGTCTTTTTAAAATCATTTCATGGTGTTTTTCTTCAGTGGGTAGGTAGTTCGTCATCTTTTTGAATCAGCACATAGGGCTATAACTGACGGTCTAGTGTTCCATCGCAGGCATGTACCGTAATTAATTCAGCCAGTCCTCCAGGATGGTCGGTTTGGATTGCTTCCAATTTTCTACTGTTATAAAAACACTTCAATGAACATTCTTTTAGCTGTTGTTATTAGTAGTATTAATAATGGCAACAATCAGATGGAAGTGCGTGCAGAAGAAAAAATCTCCAGCAATAAAATGTTAAAAAGCGGTTAACTTTAGAAGATGGAAATAGGATTTTTATTTCCAACCTTACTTATATCTGTAACATTCTAATTCTTTTAAGTGAACAAAATAATAATTAGTGCTATTTGTTAATCCAGGCACTATGTATCACACATGATATTCATCATGAGCCAAAATATTTACTTTAGTGCCTGTAGCAAGCAATGTAATTTTCAATCATGAGTACATTCGCTGATCGACTGGGAAATTCCTGGAGAATCCTCAAAAATTCGTTCTCACATATTGAGAAAACAGGGCTCAATATTCAAGCAACCAGTACAAGAGAAATAATGGTAATTCAGTCAGCTTTGGGAAGCAGCTAACCCAAGGCTCTAAGAGGCACAATCTAAAACCAAAAATGGCCAAGTTCATGTATTCAGCACATTCTGAAGTTCAGTCATACACAAATAATGAGATTTATTACAATCATTCTTCTCTAAAAATACTGGTCAATACAACAAGTACACCAAAAGCTTTCTCTGATACCACAAAACTCACCGTTTCTGATCTTCAGATTCTTTCTTGGCTTGCTCCAATGCCAGTTCCTCAGCTACTCTTCTTTTCAATTCTTCATCAGAAACTAGAATCAACAAAGAGGAGAAGGAGATAAAATAGGTGACTTCTTAAAAATAAAAGCGAGAAAATACTCAGGAAAGCCCGGCTGAGACTAGATTTGAATGGACAAAGTTCTGCCAAGTGGCCAGCATCTCCGTGGAACTTCTCAAGCACTGTGGAAAAGGCCAATTAGTGCACTTCAGGAGTAATTCAATCAAGAGTTCCCTGGTGACCTAGATTTCCACTCCTGCCAAAATTTATAACAAACTCAAGGAACTGCTTACTGTACAGTGGGGACTGAGTCAGTAAGGACTAATTCTTTAAGATGATGTCCTAATATTAAAGTCTGACAATGGTGTGTAAGGAGAGGGGAGGCTGTAAGGAAGGGACTTCGGAGAGCAATATGACAAAAAAAAACTTCTCGTTTCAATAATTAAACCTCTAACAAAATCAAGTATTACAGAGCAAATCATTTGCAGTTACATTCATTTTTCCATTATTTATGAAAAAAGGCATTTGTAATTTACGAAAACTTTGAAACCCTATTTTTTGGAATACATGTCATTCAAATTCAAGTGCCAGCAACTGGAGAGAGACACCAAAGAGTACTGAGAACACAGCTGGAGCTTTCTAAATACCTGGTGACTTGATTTGAAACATCTGGTCTTTCCAATTAGAAGATTGTGTATTGTATGTTTTGTAAAGTTTCTTACAGCTATGATGGTACATAAAATGGACAAATTTCACAGGCTTCTTTAAGAGCCTTCCACAAGAAGTAAACGAAGAGTAACTCCTCTTCACTAGAGACCTACTACCCAAAATTATGAACAAGAAAGCACCAGAAGCACTTAGGAAGATCTAGGAACATGCACAGGACCTAAGGTTATTTTTGGTTTTTTTTTCTTGGTTTGTTTGTTGAGACAGAGTCTCACTCTGTTGCCCAGGCTGGAGTGCAGTGGCACGATTTTAGCTCACTGCGACCTCTGCCTCCTGGGTCCAAGCGATTCTCCTGCCTCAGCTTCCCGAGTAGCTGGGACTACAGGCGTGTGCCACCATGCCTGGCTAATTCTTTGTATTTTTATTAGAGACGGGGTTTCATCATGTTAGCCAGGATGGTCTCAATCTCCTGACCTCGTGATCCGCCCACCTTGGTCTCTCAAAGTGCTGGGATGACAGGCGTGAGCCACCGCGCCCGGCCAGGACCTAAGTTTTATTTCAAATGGTTGAGCCTATTAGATGGAAAATTAGACAGCAGTGTCCCTTTTGATAATCTCGACATTATAAATGCTTAGTCCCACACCATATGCAAAAATATTATTTATAATAGGATATGCAAAAGCCCTTTTAAATATTTCATTGACATGAGGCAATAACAAAGAAGATATATGAAAGATCAGGGCCGGGCGCGGTGGCTCAAGTCTGTAATCCCAGCACTTTGGGAGGCCGAGACGGGCGGATCACAAGGTCAGGAAATCGAGACCATCCTGGCCAACACGGTGAAACCCGTCTCTACTAAAAAATTCAAAAAACTAGCCGGGCGTGGTGGCGGGCACCTGTAGTCTCACCTACTCGGGAGGCTGAGGCAGGAGAATACCGTAAACCCGGGAGGTAGAGCTTGCCAGTGAGCTGAGATCCGGCCACTGCGCTCCAGCCTGGGGCGCAGAGCGACTCCGTCTCAGAAAAAAAAAAAAAAAAGAAAGATACAGAGGACGATTTCTCTTAGTTGTGGACTATCAGAGTGCAACAGCGAGCATCCAATGACACTATCAAGACATAAAAAGCCCTCGAATGGGAGAATATCTGCGAGTCATTAAGCTGACAAGGACTCATATCCAGAGTATGCACGTATGTAGAGTATACAATATATAAAGAACTCTTACAGACAATAAAAAAGACAATTAAAATGGGCAAAGGCTATAAAAGGCTTTCTCAAAGAGATATACAAAAAGCCAAAGTACATAAAAGTTGTTCAACAGCATTAGTCATTAGGAAATGCAAATCAAAAATCGTACATGATATACCATTTCAAACCACTATAATAAAAAAGAACAAACAATACAAGTGTTGGTGGAAGATGTAAAGAAACTGAACCCTCACACATTGCTTGTGGGAATGCAAAACAGCTCAGCCACTGTGGAAAACACTTTGGCAGTTTCTCAAAATGCTAAGGAGTCCACATATACCCAGCAATTCTAATTTTAGGTACTATATATACTCAAAATTTGAAACATATCTATACAAAAACTCGTACATGAGTATTTATAGCGACATTATTCACAATATCCCAAACTAAACACAACCTAAGTGTCTAGCAACTGATGAATGGACAACTGTGGGTGTATCCATTCCACATATTATTCAGTCATAAAAAAGCTTAATGAAGGTATGATACATGCGACAGCATGATGAATCTTGAAAAAATTTATGCTAAGTGAAAGAAGTCAGACATGAAAGTCATCTACTATATCCATTCATATGAAATGTCCAGAATAGAAAAATCCATAGAACACACAAAGTAGATTAGTAGTTCCCTGGGATAGAAGAAAGCAGAAAAATAGGCATGACAGTTAATGGGTATGAATTTCAAGATGTTGAAAATATTTTATATTTATTTATTTATTTATTTGAGACTGAGGTCTTGCTCTGTTGGCCCAGTCCCTGAGTGCCAGTGCTGCGATTCATGCGCACTGCAACCTCCACGTCCGCCAGGTTCATGAGTTCGCGCTGCCTCAGTCTCACAAGTGCCTGGATACAGGATGCGCTTAATTTTTGCCATTTTTGTAGGGACAGGTTTCACCATGGTTGGCCAGGCCTGGTCCTTGCGAACTCCTGACCTCACTGATCTGGCCTGCCTCGACCACCCAAAGTGCTGGGATTACAGCGTGGAGCCACTGGGCTCAGCCAAACATTACCTAAAAACTAGATGTGTGATGTTGCACAACTCCTATAAAATTATACTATAAACCGCCCGAACTGTACACTCTGAATGAATTTATGATATGCTAATGTACACTGAATAAGTTGTGAGAGGAAGGAGGAATGGAAAGAGAAGGAAGGAAGGAAGAAGGAAGGAAGGAAGGAAGGAGGAGGAGGAGGGAGGAGGAGGAGGAGGGAGGAGAGGCGAGGAGGAGGGAGAGGCGGAGAGAAGGAAGAGAGGAGAAGGGAAGGGGAACATAAGAAAAGGAAAAGAAAAAGAAAAGAAAAAAGAAAAGAAAAGAATAAAAAGAACACTGCACAGGGAATCAGGAAATAGAGGAAAAACTATTTAAGGTCTAATCCCACCATGGCCATCAACAATCTGGGGGAACCCTGGGAAAGGTATTAACCTCTCTGGGCAGCAAGAGAATAACATTTTCTGAAATGAGTGTTTACAGACCCTTCCAACTGTATACTATGCTTCTGTTTAGTCTCTCTCTTACTTCATAGTCTATAACATGAGAAAAATACAAGTCTCTACTTAGAAGGGGTCAAACAAAACCTAGAAAACCCCTAGAATAGAATTCTGTTTGCATTCAGGCAAGTATTAAAGCTCTTTCAGTATGGAAGATTTTTAAACGATCCAAATACAAGCAGAGAAATTTCAGGCAGTAAGAGCTCCACAAAAGGTCCAAATAGTCTGCTTTTCTACTAAACAAATTTTGGATAAATCAGTTAATCTAACTGAATTTTAGTTTCCCCATCTAAAAATATGACACATGGGTGCACCTGTCAGCTATGAAATTCTAGACGAGACTCCACAAGGTAATGATTTTCATACTTTCATCTACTTCTCATAAACAAGTAAAACAATGTGACACTAAAATTTTTCAAATTGCATACAACCAGTACTCCATTAGTAGCAAAAACTGAAACAAATATTTAGCATAATTAGTATGACTGATCATACCAGTTAGTATCAACTCACAGTCAAAATCATGCTCCCTAGACTACTTCAAGTTACAACAGCAAGATATTTCTCAGGCAAAATTCAATCAGATTCTCAATCAAAATTCAATTTAATTTAATTCAAATTAAAACTAGGCTTCTGTAAAATCTCAGAGTGTAACTATGATGCACTGAGGTCAGTGTTCTAAGTAAACGATAAAACTGTATCATATCTTTTCTGTTGTTGTCTTGGGTTTTTTGTTTGTTTGTGCTTATGGTTTGAATGTTTGTCCCCTTCAAAACTCATGTTGAAACTTTATCCCCACTGTGGCAGTACTACTGAGAGGTGGGGCCCTTAAGAGGTGAGACTGGGTCATGAGGGTTCATGAATGGGTAAATCTATGCATGGACTAATGGTTTATCATGGGAGTGGGCCTGGTACCTTAAAAAGAAAAAGAAGGCTGGGTGTGGTGGCTCACGCTTGTAATCCCAACACTTGGAGAGGCCGAGGCAGGCAGATCACGAGGTCAGGAGTTCAAGACCAGCCTAACCAACATGGTGAAACCCCATCTCTACTAAAAATACAGGGCATGATGGTGCACACCTGTAATTCCAGCTATTCAGGAGGCTGAGGCAGGAGAACCGCTTGAACTCAGGAGGCTGAGGTTGCAGTGAGCCAAGATCGCACCACTGCACTCCAGCCTAGGAGACAGAGCAAGACTTCATCTCAAAAAAAAAAAAAAAGAAAGAAAAAAGAAAAAGAAGAGAGAGCTGGACTAGCATACTGAGCCCCCCTCACCATGTGATCCCCCGCACGATCTAGGGATTCTACAGTAGCCCCCACCAGTGAGAAGACCTGCGCCATATGCAGCCCTTCAACCTTGGACTTCAAAGCCTCCATAACATTAAGTAACAAATTTCTTTTCCTCATAAATTACCCAGTTTTACGTATTCTGTTATAAGCAACAGAAAACAGATTAAGCAGTTTGGTTTTTCCAGCTTTATTAAGGTATAATTGACAAATAAAATCATATATATTCAAGGTGAACTATGTGATGATGTGGTATGAATCATGTAATGATTACCACAAATACATAGAGCACCACACAGTTACCATCAGGGTGGGCAACACTGGGGACACTTAAAATTCGTTCTCTCATG